AGGGCGAGCGTTCCGACAGGTGAAACCTCGCATGTGTTTGCTAGCCGCTAGCTAGCCGTTTCCTTTCTGTACAGAGAGCTTACCTTTGTGGCCGGCTCGATGTTAAGAAAAGACATCACTGACGGTGATGCGGCTTTGAATCCAATGCTTTTTTGGGCTACAACGTTGCTTGCTATTGGCTTATTTCTTTCAGATTCTCGACGCGGAATATACACTGTGACCTTGCACGGCCATGTGTGACATATATCGCCCGTCTGCTTTCCTTTTGACTTGCCAAGTATATTGAAGAAGTTGTTCTGGTAGAAAAGGAGTGAAAGGAGAGAATATTCGGACCAAGAGAACGCTTGACTGGGTCTTAAGGTGCCATGCGGCTGGCACAGCAGGCAAGACAGCGGTCCATCAAGGCAGGTTGATGAAGGCATCTTTTTGAAACGCGTAAACTCTCAATGGCCACGGTTGGTTCCCCTTCGTTTGAGGCCTCACTGCATGGCTCGTGTGGTCGTGTCGGTGTGTGGTAACTTTCATTTGTCGTGTCATTTTTTCAGATGGGCAAGAGGAAGATCGAGGAAGGCTTGGTGACGGGTGCACTTGGGACCTGCCACGAGACATCGGGAACATAAGCTACTTTCACCCAAAGTATTTGTAGAGAGAGAGGTAGGGACATGCATCCCGAGATCAATCTTCCTATGATGGAACAAATGCATAATATAGATTTCGATGATATGTCTTCGTTTTTGTGCAACTTGTAAAAAGCAGCGTTTTCGTTGAACTTAAGGACATCCAAGACCTAAAACGCCGAAGGTTTTCACATTGCAGCCGCTGTGGGGGTCCCACTTTTCCACCCGCAGACGAAGACACATTACGAAGACACATTCAAGCACAGCCACCTCTCCTCCCGCAATGTGAAGACGATTTCCGCAGACGAATTCTCCGAAGACGAATTAGACCCCGAAGACGAATTAGACCCTGAAGACACTTTCCGCAGACGAATTCTCCGAAGACGAATTAGCCCCCGAAGACGGATTAGACCCCGAAGACGCTTTCCGCAGACGAATTCTCCGAAGACGAA